TTCTGGAAAGTGACATGATCTTGAAATTTATTAGTTGTACGATTTAGGAATTAAATAATTTAGCTTAAGTTGCTTTTGCATTTGGTTGGTAGAGACGGTTCACTGTCCAACCCAACCCGGCGACCCGCCGGGCCTCAAAACTTGGCCCCGAAACTGGGCCCAACTATATGTATTTCATTGAACAGGCCGGTTTATTAATAAAAAAAATAAAATAAAAATTATTGTGTGTTCAGGGTCGGACATTTTTATAAGGACATATTGGACAATTGGACTCAAAAAATATAGTTGCACCCACATATTATAATAATTATTTTAAAATTAATAAACAATTTACATAAACTGATAAGTAATATTTTTATTATTTTTCAATTATGGTTGATAATTAAAGCTGTGCTATTTTTGTCTTTTGCATTTTCATTTGCTTTTCCAGCAGTTTTGGATGCAAAATAAACATGTATTATTATTATTATTATTATTATTATTATTATTAACACTTCCTAAAAGTCATTGGATATTTCTCTAGGAAAGGTATTGAAAGCATGGGCCCTTAAAATTATTTTGGGTCCTCAACAGCTATATACTAACCATTCCGTTCGAATTTGCCAGTTAGTTGTTACTGTTGTTTTTTACTCAGCACACGCATTATATAATCTTCTCACAATTAATGTTTTTTTGAACAAATATTCATCTTTAAAAATTATATTTATTGTAACAGTTTAAATTAAAAAAAGAAACAGAATATAGATTATATAATCAAGCAACAGGGGAATTAAGTATCATATTATTAGCTAACAAATGTAATTAAGCTATTGAATGTGGATATCAAATGTTTCCTTTTCCCAGACATGTTAATTTCATAATGTACAAACACCCAACATTGAAGCACTTCCAAAAGCATTGTCCTTTTTCCTGTTTATATAATCAATTATAATTTGATACTTTGGGATCAATTAGAGGCATAACCACATTTGTATAAATTTCCTTTAGTTTTCAATTGGAGCATTCAATTATAATTTTAAAATGGGAATATAGTATATACACTTCAATTCTATATATAATCGCATCATACGGTTGTAATTAAGCATAAATAATTAAATATACACATTTCAAATAAATAAATCTAAATAAACTGCAAGTAGCATAAATGAAACAACATAATTAAGGAGCACAATATTTGTTTTTATCTATAAATGAGTCATGATTACCACTATGATGAGTTATGACTGTCGAATTAGATGAGATGCTTCTGCTAATCTTTAATTATTAGCAATTAATAATAGGTGATCGTCTTTGTCTCGTGGACAAAGCTATCATTAATTAGATAGTAATTACTTCATTTAATTACAAACACAAAATATTCAAAGGCGTGTGTTATATATGAGGATGGAATATTTTCATTTTCATTTAAAGGTTGGTTTAATTATAAGAATTAGGGGATTAGATGAAGACTAGTAATCAACCTGAGCATTTGCACAGAGAAGAATACTTTAAAAAGATAACAATATAAATAAAAATAAAAATAAATTATAATTTAATTCATGAAAAAATAAATATGAATTAAGAAAATAATTCTAAAAATTGATTTTGATCAAGTAATTGCTATGGAACAGCCGTTAGAATCATTTTCTTTATGTTGATACATCCAGTCATTTTCATGAGTGGGTGTGACTTAAAATTTGAGTATAATTTTGTAACTCCATTGATTGGTTTATGCTCATAATTTATGGCATTCAAGCAAGTTATTTTGTAACTTAAAAATGAAATTGAATGTTGAAAATTTTGGAGGGAGAATAAAATTTATTGTATGATAATATAATTTAATGCTTTGTTGTTCATCTTTATATATATATATATATATATATATTAGATTTCTTTTTTTAGAAAAAAAAAATGAAATGAGACCTGTTAGGAGGAATAATTTCTAGTTTCAACTATAGGTCACGGGTGAAGGAGAAAGTAGCCACATAGATATTGGGCATGCATTATCAATATATACGAAATACAAAAATAATAATAAAATAAAAAATTATGTTTTTATCATATAAAATGACAGACTTCTTAACCTAACTAAGTACTATTTGATGTAGGAAAACGTACTAAAGGAAAGAATAAACGAGATACTCTCTCGGTAAAATACACAAAACTAACAAATATCAGATATATTCTTCAATAATCAATCGACCGGCTACTTATATTGCCTAACCAGCTTGGCTAGATATTATTTACTTACCAATCACACAAAAATAACTAAGGTAATAAAATAAAAGGAATAATAATAATAGAAATAAATAATCTAAATACAAAGCCGATCATATTGATATAATTGCGGTCTCGTCTCCATCACTATTGTTTAGTTAACGAATAGGAAAATAATTGTTATACTCTACAGCGCTAAAGTTATGGGCTTTGATTGGTAATTAGCGGTTAGTTGTTGGTTGTTAAAGAATTGTATTAGCTGCTTTGACCAGTTGATTGAGTTAGTTGTTTTGACCAGCTGATTGTGTTAGCGATATGTAAAACAGTATTTGGTAAAATTATTATTTTTTAAATTAGTTGTTAACTTGTAAAATTACTTTTAAGGATAGCAACATACTCGAACATAATTTTTCTGTAGATATTTATAGAGTAGAACATAAATATCAACTTTCAAAATAGCTCTGTTTCACTTGTTTTTTTTTTTCCTTTGGTAGCACGTCTAACTCGTTCTTATACCATACAATAGAATGAAAAAATTGCATATTAAATTACTTTCAATTTTATTTCAATATTATAACATACTTTTATTTCTATCTTTTTCGAGCAGTGTTTGTTAGCGTCTGTTCTACTTTCAAAATAGGTCGAATTTAATTTTTTTTCTACAACACATTTAACTCGTTCTCATACCATACAATTGAATTATTATTTTTTCTTTTTGAATACTAAATGAATGTCAATTTTATTTTAACGAAACTAACATACTTTTACTTCTATCTTATTCGAGCAATGTATGTTGGCGTTCGTTCTACTTTCAAAAATAACTCGTTTTCACTCTTTTTTTTTTTTTT